CAAATCACTAATTATTACCAAATAATCAAAACAATTATTTCAGCCATAATTAGCAGCACTTCTTGTGCCGACTCTTGTGAGCGCTTCCTTTGCCGACTTTAATGGCGCCGTCATTAGAGTTCTGGCGATCTTTTTGTTCCTTCTTTGTCCGCAAAACCATTCTTGTGATCGAATTAAACATCTCTTCGACATTAATGTTGTCTTTGGCCGACGTCTCGAACAACTGAATCCCCATCTGTTGGGCGAACCGTTGAGCGTCTTCTGTGAGCACAACCTTACGGTTCGGGTCGTCGTTCTTATTGCCCACTAATCACACCATTGAGGAGATAATCAGTTAATATATATATGTCTTAAGACAACCTCCAGAGAGAGTCAGACCTAATATCCTGTTGACGACATCGCAGTTCTGGTCGATCTCATGCAGCCATCGCTTGACGTTAGCAAAGGTGTCGCCATTGGTCACGTCGTACACAACGATCACCCCATGGGTTCCCCTGTAGTAACTGATCCGGCAATCCATACAATCAATAGCACCGGTAATATATGACACACAGTATCAACACTCACGTCGACGTAATGGTGCGGAAGCGCTCCTGTCCGGCGGTGTCCCATATCTGGAGCTTCACCCTCTCGTTGTCCACTTCAATGGTGCGGATCTTGAAGTCGACGCCAATTGTGGTGATATAACTGCCGGAGAAGGTGTTGTCCGCGAATCGCAACAAAAGACTACTTTTGCCGACGCCTTCAGACACAAGCGATGGTCACATATAAGACAACAACATATTGGCGTCAATGGGAGACAATGTGTGGTGAATACATACCGCTGTCGCCGATTATCAATAACTTAAACAAGTGGTCGTACTCTTTAGCCATGGATTACAAACAATGAATAAATTATAAGACAATTAATAATACCGTTAATTAAGACTAAAATGTATTTCGTGTGAAAAAGCCGTAAAACACTTTTTCACAGCATTTGGCGATCAATACTATAGTAATGTAATCACAATATAGTGAACATAACGTGTCTATTAAACTCAGTTCACTATTAATTGCTATAAAAACAGTGAATTAAACGCTAATTCAAAACAAATTCAATTGTATTTTGTCTACAAATTAGTCCCACTTTTCAGAGCTAATTACAAAACATAAGCAATAGTTTTGGGCATAAATAATGTCTATTAACGCATAAATGAGTCATAATTTTGAATGCGATTCAGTGCAGAGGGGGTGAGAAGTGCGGCACAGATAGTGCCGTAATATACGTGTGAGATATGGGTTTGTCTGTCAGTCCTATGGTGTTGTGTTTGACTTGAATTGGCATTCAATGCACTCATTATGTAATCACATGTTTGTTATGAATGAATGCATTTACGGATCAAATCATTTGGACATCAAATGCATAAACTTCTGCACCAATCCATTGTCACCGCCAACCGGTTCCCACGGGTTGTGCCGGTGTTGGCCACCCGTGGCGTCGTATACGAGGTGTCGCCGACCGGCGAGAAGACAGTTATCAACAAATACGAGGGCAGGAAATCTCTGAAGGAGAAGTGGCAGAGAGTGCGACCCATGGGTTATGAGCCACACTTCCGCAAGATTAAGAGGATTGAAATGGATGAACGACTCGAATCTGATCCACGAGTGGCCAGACATACGGCTGAATCCAAACTCCAGTCCATGAAAGACTCGCTCCTCAACAGAGGGTGGGATGAGATCCAAGATTGTCTTTTTTGGTGCCTATATCTCATGTGATTTTTGTCCTTTTCTTTGCGTCCAAATCGACAGTTTCTGCAGAGAAACCAAACCATACGATCCTCCCGAAGACGTGCAGACTGTCATCGAAGGTGTTTGTCGTGAAGTCATCCCAAACGAAGT